TTATAACTGTCATTTCTTCTAAATGCCCATTGAAGAGAGTATATTATATAGAAGAATTTTACAATATTTAAACTTTCTCAGTTTAGAACTTTATATCTTTTAATTCTACACTTTATATAGCTTATTAACAAAACTGAACGGATAATAATTTTCAGGAAATCAATAAAATAACAAACCTTTTAAATATTGGCATGTAAAGTTAGGTTTCTGAAGGGTAGTCAAAAAAGTGACTGAACCCCTACTCACTGTATTTCAAGCTCAATACCTTGCTTATCAGTTGGCTTCTCCCAAACTGGAAAAAATATTGAAAAGGGACAAAATATACATATGCTTACAATGAGCTCAGATACTGTATCAAACAGACAAACTGCTCATTACAAATATGCTAATGACTTAAATAAGAAACAACGCACACAAAATGGAACAATTTAATTTTATACAAGGATAACAGAAAAAATGCCTGGGGTCATTAAGAGAGTAAAATAAAGTTTTGGGACAATCTGACAGTGTTTTATTCCTTACTTTAATAATAATAATAATAATTAAAAAGTCCAGTACGAACATGGCTTGAAATCTACGGATGAAGACTTAGAAAAATAACTGGTTAGCAGATAATGGAAAGGAATTAATCACACTTGATGGTAAGTTTAACCTTAAATATCAGTGGTATTAAAAAGTTATAATCTAATTAAATGAGACAGATTTTCTCAATGGTAGGGTAAAATGATTTCTAACAACCTACTGGCTTTTCATTATCAGCTGCTAATAAGTTACCAATTGGAAGGAATGTGTCAGGTTTTCCATTTCACAGCAGCAAACAATGCTCATACATTAAGTAGGTGTGATTTGCTACCCATAGTAGCATGCAGGTATTTGTATAAGGAAAAAGGGAATGGTATTCTGTGACCCCCTTGCAGTACCATAATCAAAGCACCAAGGGCCATGTATTAAAATATGAACCCATTAAAATAAATATGACAGGATAATACCTTCCCCATAGGGTCATATGAGTGCCTTTTCATTAGACATACTCTGTAAGTCTCAAGGCACTTAAGGGGTTAAGACGCAATGCATGCACTAGTTCCCGTTATGTAATGTTAAGTCACATGATTTGGAATACACCAGTGTTATGACACAGAAATAAGTTGTGCCATCAGTTCAGAGAAATGCTGTTTATATTTTACAAGATGCTGGTAAGTGGACGTTATGCAGCTACCGCTGGGTTAACACAGATTCCAGCTTTCCTCTCATAACCAGCTGGTCTCTAATAGGGGTGAAGAGCAAAGTGTGCTGCATCAGTAGGCAGTGTCTCTATCTAATATTGGCAATATTGCTGATGTTTTTAAAAACAAAAGTGAGGATCCGTACACCGTAAATAAATCTAGCACTGGAAGAGACCATGGCTTAGTGTAGATTTTTGTTTTGTTTTTAAAAGACGCAGTTGTATACCAGAGTGAAATAATTCCAAGCCTTGTTTGTAGCAATTCAACCAGAAGGGGAGTATATGGCACTACAATGAGATATCATAAGTTACCCTGAACACACTCAGTTCTTTCAATTTATGGTTTGTTCGGAGCAAAGCATGAAAATAATGAAGTCTTCAAACACATGTAAGTAATAGAGTTTTAGAGATTGATTTTTGTTTCAACATAAAGTGCAACAGTGCTGAAGTTTTCAAAGTCCTTTGTCAATTCTTCATTGTTCTCCGACACCATTTCCTGCAAGCAGAGTTATGGCACAATGAATGCTGCCAGTTTATTACAGAGGACAGGATACTTCAATATGGATCCTAGCCCTTTTGCTCTTATTTATGCAGCGATGTCTTTAAAGGTTTAACAAATCCTTCTTCATACACCTTCAAAATAGCTTCACAAACAAATCTGTATTGACTCTGAAAAGAAAGTTGATGAAGTTAATTGAAAAAGAAACATAATTTAATCATATAAGTTAGAGATAGAAAAGGTCTCTTAGGTCACCCATCCTATCTTGAAAGGACAGAATTGTGCCTCATCAAAAGCAGCCGTTTGGTAATTGTACCTTTATTGAGGAGTAGGGAGTCACTCCAACCCCATGGATTAACTAGTCTTAGGTTTTCCTACCTCTAAACCTTAAGAAATATTGTACCAAAACTACCTTGCCTTTTCCCCTTTACATTAATTTTGACATATTAGTTGCTCATATCTCACAAACTTTTAGAATGAGAAACCAGTGCTTTATGTCATCAAAAGCTTGAATCCTGGCTTCTTAATAAAGCATTTTATTTTCAATTCTAGCAGTTCTTGAGATACAAGTTACTAAAACCATGTCTCAACTAAACAAAAAAAAGCAAAATACCTTAGAGCGGATCATAAAATACAGCCACTATCTTGCAAAGTGCCACAGATATAAATGACAGGTTTCAGAGTAACAGCCGTGTTAGTCTGTATTTGCAAAAAAAAAAGGAGTACTTGTGGCACCTTAGAGACTAACCAATTTATTTGAGCATGAGCTTTCGTGAGCTACAGCTCACTTCATCGGATGCATACTGTGGAAAGTGTAGAAGATCTTTTTATACACACAATACAAAAAGATCTTCTATGCTTTCCACAGTATACATCCGATGAAGTGAGCTGTAGCTCACGAAAGCTTATGCTCAAATAAATTGGTTAGTCTCTAAGGTGCCACAAGTACTCCTTTTCTTTTTTTACAGATATAAATGATCGCTGTATAACAATATACAAAAACTCCTCACTCAAAGTCGTCCTGATTAACATTGTTTCATTGCTGATCAATTAGGGAACATGCTCAATTAAAGTTGTGCAATGCTCCCTTCTAATGTCGTTTGGCAGCCACCTGCTTTGTCCACTGCTTGCAGGAACAGCAGCCCCTTGCAGCTAGCTGGTGGGTGGTTGGAACCAGGGTGGACCTGTAGCCCCCCTATCAGCTCTCCTAAGTTCCCTGTGCAGCAGCTGCTCAGCAGGCTATCAACTGGCAGCAGTTCAGCTGTCCCTCCCCCCACCGCCATGTGCTGCTCCTGCCCTCTGCCTTGGAGCTGCTCCCCGAGACTCCTGTTTGCTGTGGGGGGGAGGGGAAAAAGAGGAGGGCTAATATCAGGGTGTCCCACTCCCCCCTGCTCCTGCACCCCGCTTACCCATCTTCCATAGAGCAGGGGGGACACAGGGACAGAGAGAGCTACAGTCCAGTCTCAGCTTGCTGATCTAATTAACAAGGCAGTGTACTTCTGACCCCACTCTTCATACTTAAAGGGGAAATGCGCATCTCTATCTCTCAAACACACACACAGTCTCTGTCTGCCCTCCCTCCTTTCCTGCTGCCTTGTAGGCTGAGAGAGTTAACCCTTGAGGGCTCAGCCAATTGCTAGTTCATCATTTTGCAGTAAAGCATTCCCTGGGAAATATCCCACCCTCTGACTCCTCCACCTCAACCAAGCTTCAGTCATCGATCACTGTGTACCAGTATTAAATTGTTTGTTTAAAACTATATAATATAGTCTTTTGTTTGGTGAAAAAAATTTCCCCTGGAACCTAAGCCCCTCATTTACATTAAGTCTTATGGAGAAATTGGATTTGCTTAACATCGTTTCGCTTAAAGTCGCATTTTTCAGGAACATAACTAAAATGTTAAGTGAGGAGTTACTGTATACCACTGGAAAGGTAGTATTTGTACCTCTCCAATGACTTAAATCAGCTTTATCTAGCCCTGGTTATTGAACAGGTCATAGATCTTAAACAAACACCAGTCACATAGGTTTAGAATTTTAATTGTTTATTGTATCATCACATGTGTATCAGTATAGTTAGATTTACATATATTAGAATAAATATTTTTCTGTTTGAAAATTTCGCTAGAAAATTGACACTTCTCAGTTCTTTTCACTTATGACATGGAAAGCATGAACGTGGCATAATGCCACCTTGTGGAAAGTGCATGCATCAATCTAGAAGTGCAAAGGCAGGAGGAAGTATTGTAGTCTAAAGAGACATGATGACATGCAGAGTTTAGGGAGTCTCTGAGTCAAACACTGAATCTGGTTTAGTCTGTTACACTGGTGCTGTAATAGTCAAAGAAATGAATTTCACTGAAATTTTGCCTTATGTCTATTAAGCTCAACTCTGAACAGCTGTCAGATGGACTCTGACTCCAAGACAAATGAAAGTTCTTAAACAGATTCTAAACCGTTTCCCAAACAAAAATTACCTTAAAATAGAATTACGGTAGAGAATACAAATCAGTAATTTAGGCTAAAGTACATTACAGGGATGTTCCAATTATCCCCAAACCAAGCATTATAAACCTAGGAAAACTCCAAACATGCTAAAAAAAACCATGTGGAAACACACAGTTAAGGCACCCAAAAAACCTGATGACAGGTGTCCTCTCGTGATCCTTTGAAGTATTTTACAATCCCAGATTAGATTAAACTGCTTTTTAAAGACACATTAGATTTCTTCTACTTGTTCCTTTCTATTGTGTCACTACAGGGCAGAGTTAAAGTTGCTTTTTGTATTGCCAGAGCAGAATTACACAGCTGGATTGTATCACCCAGCTTCCCCCTAATTCATCTCCTCCAATTTCCTTCTGCTTCTTGAAATTCTTTCCATTTCCCTTCACACATACTCCAGTACCTTGTTCCTTCCTGTCACCCTCCCTTCCCACATCTCTAGTTTCACCTTCCTATTCTCTCCATTCATTGAGCAGGTCTGGTGCAAAGGATAGCTTTTGAAAAGAAATATTGAGAATTAACAGTGATTTTTGCCATTTATTTTCATTATTAAAAAAGTATGTCTGTCAGCAGAAGCTGCTGCAGAGAAACTCATGAAGAATCACTCTTTCAAAATCCCCGAGATATCTTATTGTTCTCAGTGGACCAAGGCCATAGCCGCTCTCAGTTAAGCTGCCCTCTTTCAAAATATCCAGCACCTCTTACTGCCTTCAGCGAGAATGAAACCGCTGTGTAATATTAGATTACTTTTCTACAATGTAGCCAGAATGATACTTACAGGTGTTTGGATCATCATGGCCCTTTGATCTCTCATTGTTCTCACAATATCTAATGGATAAACAGGCTGATTGCACTCAATGAGACACATTGCTGTTTCCATAGTGATAAGAACCCCTGTACGTCCAATTCCGGCACTGGAAAAGAAAAATGTGTCATTTCATTAACCCTCTTCAAACACTCTCTTTTTTAAAAATGATATACTCCTAAAATGTAAAAAAAATTTAACACTGAAATCTTCACTATCTAAATATACCCAAGAGAGATCTATAATTATTACAATGAGGGTTACTGATGATATTCTTCTATAAGAGCAGTGTTTGTGCTCTGTCCTTCCTGGATATAAAAATGCTGTGGAATATTTTCAAAGCATTGGATTGATCTCTTACCCTTCTGAATAAGTTTGCATTTTGCAATCTCCACACATTTCTTTATCCTCCTAGAATATGAAACCTGAAGAATTTCAAGATATTTTTCTGCAGTATAACCAAGCAATCTATTTTTAGGGGTTCCCAAACTCCCAATTGCTGGAGAGCTATTCAGCTCACCATGGGAGCTGAAGTGCCCTGCACTGCATAGCATTCAATTTCATCTTGCTGTGAACAAAAAAAGACAAGTTACCTGTTCCGTGAGTGGTGCTCTCTGAGATATGCTGCTCATCTCCATTCCAAATTAGGTGTGTATCCTTGCCACACGCACCGCTGCCGGAAGTTTTTCCAACAGCAGTATCCATAGGGTAGTGGCGTCTGCATGGTGCGGTATAAGGGGAGCTGCTGGCTCCCCACACCCTCAGTTCCTTCTTGCCGGAAACTCCGACAGTGGGAAAGGAGGGCGTGTTGGGGAATGGACATGATCAACATCCCGAAGAACACTAGTTACAGAACAGGAAACTGTCTTTTCTTCTTTGAGTGCTTGCCCATGTCCATTCCACATTAAATGACTCCAAGCAGTTCACAACTGCGCAGATTGTAATACAGCTCTGCCGAACCCAGCATCATCTCTGGCCTGCTGAGTGATGGCATAATGAGATGTGAATGTGTGGACTGAGGACGACATCACAGCTCTACAGATGTCCTGGATCGGGATGTGCACCAGGAAGGCCACCGTAGATGCCTGCGCTCTAGTTGAATGGGCCCTGACGATCGGCAATGGCAGGACCTTTGCTAGCTCATAACCGGTCTTTATGCAAGAGATGAGCCAGTTGGAAATCCTCTGTGAAGAAACTGGAAGGCCCTTCATCCTATCCGCTGTAGCGATGAAGAGCTGGGTCCATTTATGGAAAGGCTTGGTAAGCTCCAAGTAAAAAGCCAAGACCCTTTGGACGTCTGGCACATGCAGACTCCTCTCCTCAGCAGTCTTGTGTGGCTTGGGACAGAACACTGCTAGGAATATGTCCTGGCTCATGTGGAAGGAAGATACTACCTTCAGCAGGAAGGCTGGGGGGGCAGGGCTGCAGCTGGACTTTGTCCTTATAACACACTGTGTAAAGCGGTTCCAAGGTCAAGGCCTTAATCTCTGAGACTTGTCTCCCCGACGTCACTGCCACCAGGAAAGCGACCTTCCAGGAGGAAGTAGGAAAGGGAGAAGGAGCCCAGCAGCTGGAAAAGCGGGCCGGTGAGCCTAGAGAGGACCATGTTAAGGTCCCACTGGGGGACAGGAGCCCGTACCTGCAGATAAAACCTCTCGAGGCCCCTCAGGAACCTGACAGTCATGTCATGAGACAAGACCGTCTGACCTTGGATCGACTGGTGGAATGTGGAGATGGCTGCAAGGTGCACTCTGATGGAAAAATGCGCCAGACCCTGGTTTCTGAACTGTAGTAAGTAGTCCAAGGTGGACTGCACTGAAGAACGCGAGGGAGAAATGCCACACTCTGATGTCCAGCAGGAAAACCTCGTCCACTTGGCCAGGTAAGTTAGTCTCGTGGATGGCTTCCTACTTCCCAGGAGGACCTGCTGGACCTCCTCCAAGCAGGTACGCGCCTCCGAATTCAACCACAGAGCATCCACGCTGAGAGGTGTAGAGTCTCGAGGTCGGGGTGTAGGAGCCGACGGTGATCCTGTGACAGTAGGTCTGGATGGTAGGGAAGGGACCAGGGAGGGTCCACCGCCATGTTCATGAGCATGCCGAACCAGTGTTGGCGAGGCCACGCAGGGGCAATCACAATAACCTGTGCTTTGTTCCTCTTGATCTTTACTAGGACCCAGCTGACCAGAGGGAATACATACATCAGATCCTCAGCCCACGACAAGAGGAAGGCATCGGAGAGGGAGCTCTTGCTCAGGCCCTGCCAGGAGCAAAACAGATGGCACTTTCTGTTTTGCCTGGTGGCAAACAGATCTACTTGGGGAGTTCCCCACCTCTGGAGGATCATGCAGGCCACCTCCGGGTGGAGCGACCACTCGTGGTAAGAGGAGAAGTCCCTGCTGAGGTGATCTGCTTGGGCATTCCTGATGCATCGGAGGTGACCAGCTTCCAGATGGATGCCATGGCTGATGCAGAAGTCCCAGAGACGGAGAGCCTCTTGGCAGAGAGCCAACGAGCGCGCTCCTCCTTGCTTGTTGATGTAGAACATCGAGGCTGTATTGTCTGTCAGGACTCTCACCACTTTGCCCAAGAGGTGTGGCAGGAAGACACCGCAGGCCAGCCATACATTTCTGAGCTCCTTGATGTTTATGTGTAACGCTGCCTCCTCCGGGGTCCACATCCCCCAGGTCTGGAGATGTCCAAGGTGCACCCCCCAACTGAGGTCTGAAGCATCTGACACTAGCTCAACAGATGGTGGGATGTTGAACAGGACTCGTTCCAGGACCTTCTCGCGATCAGTCTATCACTGCAGAGAGGTGACAACTGCCAGGGGAATGGTGACAATTTTCTCCAGGTGGTCCCTGGATTGGGAATAGGTCGATACCAGCCATTGTGGAGCCTCGCATGGCGGACCACGTACGTGCAAGCTGCCATGTGGCCTAGCAGGCACAGGCACACCCTGGCCAATGTCAGTGGAAATGTGGACACCTCCGTGACGAGGTCCGTTCTAACGGCAGGAACGTTCTTGCCCTGGTCGAGCCGAGCACGGCCCCGATGAATTCTATCCTTTGAAGTGGAACTAATGTGGACTTTTTGTGGTTGACCAGTAGTCCCAATGAGCAGCATGTGGCTTGTAATACAGCAACATTGCATTGGACCTGAGCCTTGTAACTGCCTTTGACCAGCCAGTCGTCGAGGTACGGGTAAATCTGGATACTCCAACGCCTGAGGTAGGCTGCGACTACCGCCATGCACTTGATAAACACCCTTGGTGCTGTAGCCAGGCCAAACAGAAGGACTGCAAACTGGTAGTGGGCCAAACCCACCATAAAACAGAGAAAGCGTTTGTGTCCTGGGAAGATCGTTAAGTGAAAGTATGCATCTTCCAGGTTGAGGGCGGCATTCCAGTCTCCCGGATCCAAGGAGGGGATAATGGAAGCCAGGGGGACCATGTGAAACTTTAGTTCTTTAGGTATCTGTTGAGGTCTCACAGGTCCAGGATAGGATGCAGACCACCCCTGGCCTTTGGGATCAGAAAATACCAGGAATAGAAACCCTTGTTCTGATAAGGAAATGGGACCTCCTCCACCGCCCACAGCTGTAAGAACCCCTGAACCTCCTGCTCGAGAAGACTCTTGTAAGAACGGTCCCTAAAGAGGGACAGGGATGGGGGTGGTGGAAATAAATTGGAGGGTGTAACCGTGTGCCACCATACTGAGGACCCAGCAGCCTGAAGTTATTGCTGACCACGCTGGGAGGAAAAAGGAAAGGTGGTTGCAAAAAATTGGGAAAATTGGATCCAGGGAATAGACTGATAGGTTGCCTTTGCGCGTACCCTCAAAACGACCTTTTAGCGCCTTGCTTGGATTGGTTTGAGCCCGACTGGGCAGAGGGTGGGGGCAGGTGGCTCGTGCTCTGTCTATAGCCCTTGGGATTTTTGTGCAGCGGGTCCTGCTGGAGCTGGCTTCCTTTCCCCTGGCATAGTTGCAGTTTGAAATGCTTACGTGCTGGGCCCAGAAGTTAGAGCCCCAGTGTTTTTAGGGTGGTTTGGGAGTCCTTCAGTCCATGTAATTTGTTGTCTGTCTGCTTCGCAAACAGGGCCTGGCCATCGAAGGGGAGGTCCTGAATCGACTGCTGAGCCTCAGAGGACAACCCAGAGAGGAGCAGCCAGAATACTCACCACATGGAGATGGCAGACACCAGGGTGCAGGCGGCGGAGTCTGCCACCACTTAAAGGGCTGCCCCAGCAGCGGCTGTGCCCTCGTCAAGGATCGTCCGGAATTCTTTACAGGAACCTTCCAGGAGTGCATTTTTGAACTTGGCTGTGGTTTCCCACATATTAAAGTCGTAGGGGCCAAGGAGGGCCTGGTGGTTGGCCACCCTCAACTGTAAGCTAGACGAGGAATACATTTTCCTTCTGAACAAGTCCAGTCTCCTGAAGTCTTTATTTTTGGGGGTAGCTCTAGATTGCCCCTGGATTTGCCTGTGGTTAACTACCTCAACCACCAGGGAATTTGGGGCTGGATGGGAGTAAAGGTATTCATGCCCCTTAGTTGGGACAAAGTACTTACGCTCTGCCCATTTGGAAATGGGGGGCAGAGAGGAGGGGGTTTGCCACAAGGCGCTGGATATCTTCAATACCCCTTCATGAAGGGGAAGGGGCCACCCTAGCAGGGGCTGTGGAGAAGGGGACATCGAACAGGGAGTCCGCTTGCTCCTCCAACTCGTTCACCTGCAGGCCAAGACCCTGCGACCCTCTTCAGTAGCATCATCCTGAGGAACTGGGTGATGGGCCTCCGTGATGGCCTCGTCCGGTGCTGAGGAGCAGAAGGCCAGTACTGCAGGTTGGGCCTTGCTCATGCCCTTCCACATTAGGTGTGTGTGCTTGCTACATGCACCAGTGCTGGAAGTTTAGGTGTGTGTGCTTGCTACATGCACCAGTGCTGGGCCAGCAGGCTGTTCCCCTTGGTCCACATGGATTGGCAGGGTCTTATCCCCCGGGGCCTCAAGAACGGGAAGGAGCTGGGTCATTGAGGCCACCGGCCTGTCCGAGGCTCCCAACACTGAGTGGGCAGGCTGGGAGGGCTGGATGAACCCCCATGGGTTCCAG